AAAAATGTAACAGTACCTAAACACTCAACCCGAATTACTATAACACAACAATATAATTTACTTTTAATTATAGACGAAATTCAAATATTAATTTTTTTTAAAAAAAATTGTAGTAGTTCCTAAATTAGAAAAAAATTAACCATAAACTTATCATGCGCTTTCAAAGCGCGGATCAAAATCTAGTAATATGTTATAATCAAACTAACACACCTTTTAAAAATAACCATTATTCATCCTAATAGTTATATTATAACTTGTTTGTCGTTGAACTAATAACTAATTAATTAAATACAAATAATTTATTTTATTAGATTATTTATCTACCCAAACTTACGATTATTTTCTAATCGGATTATTCTCTCACTGACTTTTACAAAAAATATCAATCAAACTTACACACACACACACACATATCATTAAGTGAGTTATTTGAATATAAAAACTTAGAGACATATCTATATAACTTATTAAAATATTTTATTTTTGAAAATTAAATTTATCAATATACATAAACATATTAACTGTTGTTTAATATTTAAATAAATTAATTAATAATGGTTAATGTAGGTGAAATTTAATCATTGGCAAAATGTTATATAACATATCATTTTGATAGATTTTTGATATTAAATTTATCAATATACATAAACATATTAACTGTTGTTTAATTTTTAAATAAATTAATTAATAATGGTTGATGTAGGTGAAAGTTATTCATTGGCAAAATGTTATATAACATATCATTTTGATTGATTTAATATCTAACAACGATATGAACAACTAATAAATTACAAATAATTAAAAACCAACGATCTATCATAAATGTTATATATTACAAACCAAACAAACAAACATCTATTTAAAGATTCATGCGGATGCATTGGTCAAATTATAGTTTTGATTAAAATTTAAGTAAATAAAATAAGACTAGAATTAAGAAAGAAATACGAGCCACTGACCTGTAATATTGTTAAGTTCACAATCTTACCAAAAGTCATTAATATTAATTACTTTATGGCTTCGAATGGTGAACAACCGCTCTGCACTGCTATGAATAATAACAAAAATCTCTATACATACCTATGTATCTATACATTTTTATTACTATTTGAACCACACTACAGTTGAACCGCAGTTGTCTCGCATGTTATCACTCAGAGAATATATTATGGAAAAAGTTAGTTTGATTATTTATAAATAATATTATTACTATTTTAACGTAATTTTATTGATATTTTGATTCACATAAGTTTGCCTTTAACTACTTTATCATCAAATAAAAACTACAAAAATATCATTACTATATTTCTAACTCAGGATAATTAATAATGAGACAGATTTATTTTGCCGATGTTTTATGTAACCACATACATATTAAAGTTTATTTATCTTAGGTGACATAGTTGTTTTAAAATTTAATTAGGTTGTTATAGATTTGTTTTAACAATTTTGTCACATTTGGTCACAAATTTATTAAATTGTCATCTACTTAATTAGAATTCATATTATTTTATTTAGTCATAAATTATTGTTTTTGAAAGTATTATATATATGATTCAATAGATTTGTTTTTTATACAACCAATTTACTTGTTTGTGACAGATTTAATCTACATCATATAAGTAAAATCTAACAAAACTCAAGTTTGATTACATAGTTAATCTACATTAAAGACTATGAGATCAAAGAAATGAATAGAAAAAACATACAATTTCAATCATACACGTGGAACTTCAGTAGAGAATGTGAAAAATATAATAAGACCGAGGCTCATCATAGGAAGAGTTTCAAACTCGGTTCGAGAAAGCAAAGTTTATGTCACCATTGAAGTTGAGACATGTTAAACATCGCTGGTTGTGATTTGATCATCGAACCTAAGATATTTCGAGAAAACATGTTTTTTTCGTTGTAATATACTAGAGAAATGTATTTTCTTTTTTCTGTTTTTATTTTGCTATTGAAAATATTTTAAATATCATTCTTGTAATTATCCATAATGATTTCAAGATTTAACATCATTTTTCATCTTTTAACATACCACATCATTTTATTCATCTTCCGCCGCATCACTCAACACACTTTCAACTTTACACATTAAAGTTTTGTTTAATAAAAATCGACACCTAATTCACTAATTAATAATTGTTATTTATATATCCAAATTAAATAAATTTAGTCTATTTTTTCCTGAGAATCTAAATAATAATGTTTTGTATTAGAAATAAAAAAATAACTTATTTTACTTATAATAGATTATTGGTTTCAAATAATAATGTAAATATCAAAATTTAAAAATCTCTAAAAAGTGATATGTGGTGTCGATAAACCCCACTTTCTTCTTATTCACAATGTATATTCACAATGTTGAATCTATTCAACATCAAATAACCAACATCATCAAATTTTATTTTTCAATGAATTCATGGTAGTGATTCAACTCTCGAATCTTTATTCAATACCTTTGTTGTCAATATGTACAAGGATTTGTGATTCAGTACCTTCATTTTCTTCTTTTAACAGTCCACATCAATTTTTTTTTCACTTAATCATTCAACACACATTTAACTTCTACAAACTATAACGATTTTGTTTAGTAAAATTCAACCATTCAACTTCTACCCACTACAATGATTTTGTTTAATAAAATTCAACACTATATATCTACTGTTTAATAACTATTTTATATGTAAAAATTAAATAAACATAATTTCTGTTTATAAAAAATAAATTCTAATGAAATAACTACTTTTAAATAATTAGGATAATATCAAAATATCGAAAACCTCTAAAACTGACATGTGTGGTCAGTGAACCCATTTTTTTGTATTCCTATTCAACTATATTTAATCTCGTATGCATTTTAAATAATTTTACTACTTCTTTCGACGACTTAAGAGTTGAAATTTTTATCTACCACAACTATAGCAAGTAGTTAATACCGAACAAAAGTAATTTTTTTTTGTCATTACACATCACTGGGAATAGGTGTGGGTAACTGAAAATCAATCTAGTAATCTTATTATATAAAACTTTGTTCTTTAGAGTTACCAATTAACACGATCGCGACATATGGCAGTTATATATCTAAGATTGTGGCATGTGTTAATACTATTTTTTTCTTTTCTAAAATCATAAAGAAAAGATAATTGTAAAAAAATATTTGATAACAATTATATTTTTTAAAATTTTAAACCAAAAATTATAAAAGAATGTTTAATATTAATTTTATTTTAGTCAAATCTTAATTAAAATGATCATAAACCAAAAATAACTATCAATTATCACATATTAACATATAATGTTCTTGATTGCAGCCAACAAGAGTTTTTGAAAAAAATATTAGTAATTTTCTTTTTTACAAATCCGGTACCAAAAACAATTTGTACAAGTAATTTATTGTTCTTTTTGGGATTTTAGAAAAAGAAAATTACTAGTACATAGTCATTTACAATAATATTTGTATGGTTCTTTTGTAGTCTTTTAAAAACATTTGATAGTAATTTTAAAATTTTAAAATTTTAAAATCTTATTATATAAAAGTTTGGTGTGTTAACACTGCCATGTCATCGGGTCGTTTAGACACTTCATACAATCACGAGAAAAAACTGACCCAGTCTCCTAAGATCACCCACATTGGAGGATTTAAACAATCCTTAGCACTAATACCTATGTAATTTTTGCTAAAATATTAATAAAAAATGGTAAACACCAAGGATCAATCCTTTGCTAAGGATTTTTTTAGGTTGATCCTTGGTGACGTGGCATGAGTTTGGGAAGAAGGGTTTCGCGTGTAAAAAAAAACCCGTCTCATTTGGAAACGAGAGTCGGAAAAAACCTCTGAGGCGATAGAGAGGTGGGAGGCGTGCCTTCGACACCGCGAAACACCGCCGGTGGTGGCGATGATGTTTCCGTGGCAGAGTATCTCATTACGACTTTCGTCAGGGAGAAATCGTTTCCATTAGCGTCTGATTTCTGGAACAAGCTACTCGAGCTTCCGTTGAGTTCTCGCTGGCCTAGTGTTCGTGTTCACCAAGCCTGTGAGCTTTTCGGTTAGCTAGGGTTTCGTGTTTCTATTTTCGTTGTATCTTCCATGGAATTTTGCGATTCGGTTACTGAATTAGAAATATGTGTTATCGAATTGGATTGTTGAATGTTTTGATAATTGTGTGCAGCACAAAGCAATGGATACACTAGGCATCTTGCAAAGCTGTTGATTCATCTATCGTGGTGTTTGCAAGAGCTTATCCAAGCTTCTGATGATCAGAAGGCCTCTTCTATGTATAAGAAAGTTGTTAATACAACGTATATTTCATCAGTGTTTTTGAAGTATTTGATTGAGAATGGGAGTTAAATCTATCACTAGACGATAGTGAGCCAGTTCCTCATGGCTTTGTAATGGGTAATATAGCTCTTTAACTATTTTTTTTCCAACAGTAAGGTAACTTTTAACCTGGCTTGAGTTGGTTTATTGAGAGTGTATTATTGGCAGATCAAGACATCCAGAATTTTGTTATGCATAGTGTACTGAGTTTCATTGGATCAACTGAAGTGAGTCCCAACTCGTATGTTCTACATCAGGAACTTCTGAACTTCATGATTGTTGCTACGTCGACACAGCTTCTCTCTGGACCATCACATGGACCAAGTGGTGCGAACCCTTTTATTGATGCAGCAATATCTTAGGTAACATCTTAATTAGTTTTTTTTTTCTTTGTCTTTTGCTTGGATATTACCTCCCTACCAATTATTGCTCGTTCTTTTGCTTCAACATATGTTAATACAAATCACATTATCCAAGCAAATAATGACATACAAATCACACCATCACATAATCAAAGAATCACATAATATAGTAGAGCAGAGTTATTCATATTTAATCATTGTTGTATTTTCATATTTAATCATTCTATAAATAAAATTATATTCTTATATTTTCAAAAATTAAATATTATTTTATTTCTAAGGATTCCAGAATGGAAAACACCAATGGACATACAAATTGGATTAGGATACTTAACTATTCAAAAAAAAAAATTTAATTTAATATACTTAAGGATTCACTTTGGGGATACATCAATGTGGGTGCTCTAAACTCGTCCCCGTTATCATGTGATTCCCTCTTTAAGGGTACACTTATCGGTTATCTATACCCGTTAATGTAACTCGTCACTTGATTACAGTAGCCGAGAGAAATACATTACCATATGATCAAAAGTTAATGTATGATTGTTTATATAAAAGGGTAAATGGTTTGCCAACATAAAGAGTTCTCATTTATCTCTCGCCTCCAAAACTCCATGACCGGGATAGGTGTATATATATATGTAAAAATTCAAAAAAAAAAAAAAACTCAAAGTCATCTAGCCGGTTCTGCTTTTAACAAAGACATTCTCCACTTTTGACATTAACTACGATACTAATTTCAAAAGCTTCGGTTAAAAATATTAAAAAGTAAAAGACGAAGCAAATGGATGTTACCGTATAATCTGTCTTTGGGCAATTTTTCTTCTATATATTCTTTTTGGGTGGGATAATCGAGGGGAAGTGGGATGTGCAAATGGCTGAGGAGTTTAGGGGTGTGTTTATTCATCGTCATCTGAGATTAAAGCAAATGAGAAAGGCTTGAACTTGTAACCATCTCCGTGGAAGAACTTCCCCATGAACTCAACCCAGTGTAGACGCAGAGCATGAAGAAACGCACTTAGTGTTTCCATCATCAGAAGTATAAACGCTGTTGCAAACGCAAACACCACTAATCCGATTAACCTGATCAAAATGTTCTCATACCTGTTTTGCAAAATTTAAACGGACAAAATGTAAAATAAAAAGTTTGAAATTAAAGTTATAAAAACATAAACTAAAACTAGAACTACTACTCACCCCCAGGCAAGAAGAAGAACTTTCTCATAGAAGACCGTCGACAATTCGGAATGAGCCAAACTGTAAAACGTCGAAGAAGAAGATTGGAAACATATATGAATATATGATCAAGTGGTCATATGTTACAAATAAAGCAGAAAGGTTTACCTAAGAGCCCAGAGACGAAGGTAAGATGCTGTGTTAGAAACCGAACCTAGAACAAACTCTATGGAGTGAATCAATTGATGTACAAAAATCTCGCTGAAGTTAAACTCTTCTTCCTGATGGCCTCTCGCTGAGCCTGGTTCTACATCCAGATCCACTTCAGATGTACCAAGAACTCCGTAAGTGCGACCTTGGAACCTCTAACAGAACAAAAATATTAATCCACTGATAAACCGGAATAAAATAAAACAGATGCAATGAATAGCATAAAACTGGAGGTACCTCCATGTGAATTTTCCTGAGAGCAAAGGGTTTTGGAAAAAGCATCCATGGGACAGCGATGAATGCCATAAGCAGTAACAAAATCTGCAGAATAGTGGTTAAGATGAGTAAGGATGGAGCACAAAGCTAATTTAGCTCTGGATTTAACATTAAATAAAAAACAGAGAAGAAACTGTGCCTGAAGTGGACGTTGGCCCCAGAACAACTCATTTTCACCAAGTTCTTCGGTTGGACTTAGAAACATGTAGATCATTACATGATACAAGTCTGCTTGAGATCCAGTGCACCACTTGATGATGATGAGTAGTGAAAGGTAACCGAATAAGCTGTTCAGAAATATCATCTGAGGTATAAACTGATACCTGACGACCCATCAAAAAGACATAAAGTAAGCTACCAATGTAGTCTTCAGAAGCTTGGGAAAATGATAATAAAAGAAGAACAAACCTTATGTCCAGTGAAGAGCCGAAGAATCGAGCATTGAAGAAACTTAATATTAGTCCCAAATTCATCTGAGCAATTCCCAGCAGAATAGACATCTTCATCTTAAGCGAGTTTAGGTAAGGCAGTTCTGAACGACTTCCACGCCAACTAGGATCAACGCCAAAAGGGTACGGTTCACGGTACTTGATTAAACCAACTGTGTAAGCATCACTGGACAAAAAATAACATGCATATCAGCAACTAGTGGACTAATTACAAAATAAAAGGACATGGATCAAGATTCAAATATAATACATACCTACAAGTAGTATCTCTGCATTTGTAAGCTGAACCACCAAAGATGTGGAAAGGAACAGAGAAGAACTCATTGTAGATAAGCCCACAATATATTGAAAAAAGTGCCATTAGTAAGATTACATAGCGGCCTCCAAATAGCATCTCCATAAAGCTTCCGAGTTTCTAGTAACGGTAAGACACACAAAAATCATACCAGGTAAGTACAAATTTCACAATGGCAATGATGTTCCACAAAAGCATCTTTTTCTCAAGTTAATATTTATACTAGAGTGAGAAGGTAAGCTAAGGGTAATTACTAATTATCAATATATTCTATAGAAATTCTGAATAACAGAAAATCACCATCTAATCTCACGTGGAAAACCAAAAAAAAAAAAAGCCTAGCAGAGCACAGGAAAAAATTTCATCAAGATCTGAGAGCAGAAAAGTGCAACATAACTATTGTGCGGCTCACTTCAGAACCAAACGTACACAATCTCAATCAGCCACTAACCAAAGTAAAACAAAACTCTATGTTATAAAAGTTTTATTCAACTTGAAAAGAAATCACCTTATGCTCGAAGCCAGTACGGTCACTAGTTTGTTATTCAATTAATACAGGAAAAATTGGGCGCCAACCATACCTGCGAACTCAGCTTCCTTTCACGGGCAAGAAGATACAACGCTCCTAGCAGCAAGCAAAGACCATGACCCCAATCCCCAAACATAACAGCAAACAAAAACGGATATGTGACAACTGAATAAACTGCCGGGTTGGCCTCTTGATATCTTGCAACACTGCCAAGCAAGCATAAAGCCGAGAATACATTAGATGGTGAGCAGCGGAAAAAAACTGGCACAAGCAATCAACAATAACTTGATTAGGAAGATACGGTATGAAGAAACTTCAGCTCTGTTAGAAAGCAGTCAGTTACTCTTCTAAAATCATTTACGCATGATAAGGGAAACGCCGGTCCATACACTTGCATCTACGATAGTGCCAGGTAATACTAAATAATGGAACTAACCCGTAAGCATCGATGATCTCCTGGAACGCATTTGTAAGTTTGTTCGTTCTGAAATAGGTGGGAGGTGATTCTACCGCTTGCATTACATGAAATATAACGCCCACTTGTGAATTGCTGTCGAAAGTGGCTCGCTGTAGGACCTCATGAATCTGCGCCGACGTTGCTGATGAATGGATTGCACTTGCAAGGAAATAATACTGCTTATATAAAACGGAACAAAACATAGTATACCTGGGTCTTAGCAAATGTGGGGCACCAACCTTCGCCAACAAGGCATTTCTTGGTTACATCAAAATTTAGCATGTTCAGAGTATCATAAACCGCCTTTTCTCTCCGAACCTAGCAGCAAAAGGAAAGCTAAAATCATGGCTGTTCCGTACTCTATGGACCATACAATCTCTCATATACATACTTAACCAGAAAGATAACTATATAACACTAACTGCAGATACTATTTTTACCGTGGTCATCCATTTAGTCAAGCTGTAACCAACAGCATTAAGAGCATCATTCCGATGGCGAGTTCCAGCATCTAGAGTGGCTTCCAGATCAGAGAGTCGGGATAAAACCTAACACCAGATACGTTGATATTTTAGGAGCAACATAGGGCGACGCAGTTACATATAGTCACTAGCACTACTAATCAGGATAGGAAATATTGGTATTCTCCGAATAACATAGCGTACACAGCAACTAACAGTCGCATATGACTTGGACACAAGCTAACAACAAAATCATATGAACAAGAAAGAAAGTTACTTGCAAGAATTGTTTTAAAAAAAAATCGCACATTAATATCTTAGAATAGCGCTCCATGAGTAAACATAAAAATAAACAAGTGTTGGATCCAACTTACTTCTCTCGTAAGCTGCCTCTGCTTTGTTGTATCCTCGGGGACAGGATAACAATTTGCACCAAATGCTTCACATATTTTCAATATTTTTGTCCTTGCTTGCTCCCCCGAAAAGAAAACGACAAATACAATTTTCTCCACCTATAAGCACAAAACCAGTTAGTAATAAGCATCTCACTGATGATTATTATCGACATAAAGAGAATATGCTGTCTGAGGATATAAGAGATCATTATCACCATTTCTGATGTTGAAGGATCCATGATCTCCTCATCAGAGGGTGTTTGATTGAAAAGCATATTGCCTCTTGTTGCACGAAACAACATCCTTTCAAACCTAAGAAGTTTGTCCTTGTTAATGATTCCACTAATAAATCTCAGTCCTGATTGATTCAAGGGTTCAGGCCTCATTTCCTGAGAAGAAAATAACTGATTTTTTAGTAAACATAATTTGAGATTCCGGAAAACAGCAGAAAATGGAATCTTGGACATGCAATCACCTGCTCTAGTAAAGAGGAGGTCTCAATAAAACCGTTATTTGAGTAGGTGCCTTCATGTAGTTCTGTTTCATCTCCAGTTGCATGAGCATTACTTGAGACGAGGAAACCATTTGCCTAAAAAGAAGTGAAGCATAGCGCATATCTTAGCAGATAAGAATTGAACGAGAACCGAACAACAGCTACTGTACTAAACAACGTTGTCAATTGGTCAAGAAATCTTCTAATTAATATAAAATTGAGTAAGAAGAGGGAATACACCTACCTTTTGAAGAACTATCTTGAACTCAAGAAGTTCGTTATATGTCTGCCGAAGCTTTTCACTGTTTGAATTCATTTCCAATACTTCATGCTCGTGATCAGCAAGTTGTCTCTGCCGAATTAAGCAATTGAAAATACAAAGAAAATTACGAAGTGTCGCAAGAAAATATCATGCCTCATCCCCCAACAAAAGAGGCATTACAATAGAAAACCAAAGACTCCTCAGCAGAAAGAGAACTAGAGAATTCATTTCATACCTCTAAATCTCCAAGCTCAATGTCCGGTTCTAGTTCATGGCGTGGTGAACATCTTAGACCAGCTTTATCAATTTGATCTTTGAAAAAACGAAGCTTCCTTGACATCTCACCACATCGTTTTACCTGTTAAAAGCCCCGAAGAAAATTTGCATAAGCAAAGAAGCTCATATACACACACTCCTATTCTATCAGCTACACCCAACTCCTAAAAATTTGGGGTTAATTCATCTTGAGCACACAAACAAAATTTAGAAACTACACTGTGCAAGAAACAGTACATAAGATTAAGGAACCAAGTCCGAGTAATATGTCAAGTATCCCACAGTGGATAATCATGGCCTGGTAAACAATATCTACCTGAGTTATTGTATCTACGATTATACTTTTAAAAAAAAAGAGAGCAGTTAAGAAGAAATCTAATACAGATTTCCTGTAATAGTGTTTAAAAAAATAACCACCAAAAATTATGTCGGTGACACTCGAATGCAGATACATTCATCCCAAGAAAATCCTCAAAAAAGAATCATCATATTTTGACAGTTTCTACTGAGTCTAACTGTCTAATACATAAACTTAACACCAAATCAATAAAGTAAAAACCTCTATCTGCATCGAATCATTCACAACAGAGCATGAATCGAATGTATTTAAAATTACAGAGATAGTTGAGTTGATTACCTGATTAGCAAACGTCCGCTGAAAAGGACTTTTATCCGCATTTAGCTGTTAAGAAAACAAAGATAAGAGCGTATCAGATTCCTCAAATTCAACACATCTCATTCATAATCAATCCAGCAATCTCAATCTATTTCCAATCTTTCAAAGATCATCACTAAAGCATGTTCCACTCACGGTGGAAGTAACAGATCACACGCGAACGGATCAACGACGATTATAAATCTCTCCTACATTGTGAGATCAAACATCTCAATCTTCCACTGATTTCTAAACCGATAAATATACAACGGACATTAAGCAACAGATTCGATCGATTTGTAACAGAAAAAAAGGCGGATCTGATGTTTCACAGTAAAACTCACGTCGCGAAACTGCAAGAGGCCGAGTTCGCCGAGATAAGTGACGCAACGGTGAGCGGACTCGACGGGGATGATAAGCTGGACGAGCGTCATCTTCTCGGAGCGCATCAGATCCATCTGCGGCAACTTGTCTAAGAAATCGTCCATCTTCTTCTTTGTGCTATCGCTCGATCAGATCTGAGATTTGTTTCCGTCGAAGATCTGTGAAGCGGAGTTCAGTTTTTGTTGCCGTCGACAACTGCCATGAGAAAACGAGGATTTGGCATCTCCAATTAAAAAAACTAGGTGATTTTCCCGTGTTCATGCACGGGTATAAATATTTATAAAACAAATATACTATAAAAATTGCTTGCTATTTACTTTAATTTATAATTTATATGCATAATTTATATTAATAATACTATAGTACTTTAGCAGATGAATGTAGATATGTTATATATAATTAGTTTTGTTATTTTTACAGTCGATTTAGTTATCATATGAATTTATTGGACTGTATCTATTTTTCTAAATTCAACTACAATGTTTTTTATTCTAAATATATTAAATTTTGATTAATTTTCTTATTTGTATTTAGGTTAGTTTTTGTGTTAGATACGTAAATATATTTTAGGAAGATTATGTATAACTTAGTATATATTGTTTTTAGAATGAAATAAAAATAAACTAAAGTGTCTGATTCTAAATTACATAAATTAATATAACAAAAATATTCTGAAGTCTCATACATGTATATAAATTTTTAAAAAATAACTGATTGCAACAGTTGTTTAATATTTTATTTTCATTTTTAATATGTTTGAGTCATCCTATAATTTATATTTATAAAATAAATTATTATCATTATAAAACTATATATTCTTATTGTAGTTAAATCTACGATTTTAGATATAAGTTGGAATATGTGATTTTTCCGTGTTCATGCACAAATATAAAATCAACAACATAAATAAATCATACTAATTGGCTACAAATTTGTTTTATAATTTATATGTAGATCTTGTGTATATAATTACATGTTGTTTTACTCTGACATGTGATTTAAGATATATAGTATCTAATCGATTTAATTATTATTTGGATATATTATATTGCATTTTTTTGTTGATATTACTATAATTATTCTTATATATAAAAAATATAATTATAAATAAATCTATTTTTATTCCAGCTAAACCAAATAAGATCAGTTTTATTTAATGTGGGAGTTATGTTTTTTATCTAGGATGTGTAAATATATTTTCATTTTTTTGTATATTTGATGTTGATTTTAAAAAACCAATAAAAATTAAGTTGAAGATTGATATGACAACATAAAAGAACATGACCGATATAATTTTAAAAATAATATATATTTTGATGTATAAACGATAAATTAACAACTATATTAGTAATTTTAAACATAAGAATTCACATTAGTTAGAGTTCAGATTATAAAGGAGACAATGGTTGTTAAAAATATAAATTTAAATTTAAAATCAACTAAAGATTAAGAAAAAAGAAGTAAAGTAAATATATATAGTCCGCTAAAAATATATTTTCGTATAATATTTAAAATATTTCTGTAATTATTTTATTAAGATAGAATTATAAAAAATAGTTACATTTTCTAATAATGTCATCTTGCTTAAGATTATTTTTAAAGTATGTTGTTTAGTATTTTAAGTAAATAACAAAATTTTGTAGAGATTATTTTATATAAAAAAAATATTAATTTACTTTTACTTTTTAAAAATAAATACTCAAACATTTGTTTTATATTTAATATTTTGAAATCATCTTATATAAGAAAAATATAAATATACTTTAGATAATTAGAGATATTTTTAATTTATGTAGTCTAATAAAAAATACAAAGAAATTTTCAATTAAATTTATGTTAACAAATTATTATGCAAAACATATGTAAAACCCTTAGTAATATTAGTTTTAAAATACTTTAATTTCATAAAGAAACTTCAATTTATGTTATGTTATCTAAGTTAGTTTTGATCATCTGAAAATATAGCTTGATGTAAAGAAAATATTATTATTACTTAAAAATTATATATATTATGTTATTTAAGATTATGTATTAAAAGGAATATATTTCTAATATTAAGATGCTTATTGTGAACTTTCCTTTTTTATGAACTCAAATTATATATGTGAAATATTTTCA